ATTGTGGCCTCTGAGAAGCTCCAGATGGACACATTTTTTGTCTTTGTGTTTCTCCAGGAGGCTAGCCTTTGTATACAGAGCCTCTCCAGGAGGCCTGGGGCCTCTTACTGTCTTCAGGCCTTAGCTCACATGCTCCTCCCTTAAGGAAGGCTTAACCATGCCCTTTCTTTCTTTCTTTTTTCTTTTTTTTTTTTTTTTTTGGTTTTTCGAGACAGGGTTTCTCTGTGTAGCTTTGGAGCCTGTCCTGGCACTCGCTCCGTAGACCAGGCTGGCCTCAAACTCAGAGATCCGCCTGCCTCTGCCTCCCGAGTGCTGGGATTAAAGGCGTGTGCCACCAATGCCCGGCTAACCATGCCCTTTCTTGGATGGGCAGTGGGCTCCTCTGGACGTCCTCATGCCTTTCCCACACTGAGTCTTTGTGTGCACCTCCCCACCTGCCCCTGACCCTTACATTTTGGTCCTGATCATTCTAAGCTGTCCCTGTCTCCCGAAGGACCTGTCTCAGCCCCTGAATAGACACACTGTAACAATTTTTTTTTTTTTAAGCCAAGAGTGAACAAATTAATGCATGGTCAGCATTCATTGACAGTTAAATAGAGATGTTAATGATGCATAAAAAAACAAACTCTAGAGGAGTTCATTAGCATGTAAGGGCGTGGTAACCATGTTTGATTCCATGAAAGGAAAACCATGATACCACAAGGCAGCAAATGAACAAATCTGCCAATTGACCCCCAAGTCCCTGTGTAGTTCAGGGCTATTGACCAATAGTCAAGGGGAATAAGGGAAGAGTTTGTGCCTAGCTTGTGTTCAGACCGAGCTTGGGAGATGGAGGGATGAAGGTGGTACACAGGAGGTACTCAGCCCAACATGGGGGTGACTTGGCAGGGAGGCAGCAGCCAGAGAGTGAGTGAGCAGCACCCCACGGCAGGTGCTCAGATAGCATCACTGTTTGAATGGATTGAGTAGGCAGGAGAAGGTGGAGGCTAGGGGGGGGGGTGGGGGGTGGGGTTTCTCTGGCCTGGCTTGGTCAGTGGGAGAACGCCTGCCTGGAACGCACTATCTGAAGGGCTGAGGGTGGCGGGACTTGGCTCTGGCAGTAGCGTCTTCACCTAGCTTGCATGAGGCCCCGAGTTCAGTTCAAAGCACCGCGGTTACAAACAGGACCAATACCCTGGAGAAGGTGGAGGAGATTGGTTGTTACTTGGCTGGTGCTTCCCGGAAGTGTAAGTGGTACAGCTGCCTAAACTTGGACTCCTAGGTGGCTTTGTTTAGAGAACTCCCCATGCCACGATATCACCCCTCAGAACATCTTTGCACCTGAATTCTTCCTCAAGTTGCTGGTGAGCAACAGGTAAGCCAGGCATTGTAGCCTGGGGGTGGGGTGGGGATGGGGTTGAGATTGTTCCATGTGACGATGCCCCACAGACTTAACCCACTCCTGGACTGCATTCCCTCCTCAGAGGAGTCGACACGAGCACATACTGTGACTACCAGCTCATCTTTGTGCTGCACATGCATGGACTACCGCTCAGCGGCAAGCGGTCACTCTTCATTGTCATTGTGAGTGGCAGTCAAAGGCGTCCCTACGGGGCGGGCGGGGCCGCCGGGGCCCGCCCAGCACCGCGCACCCATGGCTGCTGTCCCGCTCCTGCAGGTGTCCATCAGCCTGCTCGTGGGCCTGGTGGTCTTCTACATCCTGTTCCTCCTCCTGTGGCCCCACATCCTCGCTGCGCTGGAAGATTAACAACATCATGGCCTCAGAGTCCTACTACACATACGCTACCTCCAACCCAGCCTTCAGTTTCCAGTCTCACTCCGGCTCGGAGCAAAGTTACAAAGAAGGTTCTAAAGAGGAAACTATAGTGAAGAAAGAAGTGGTGGCCTGAATCTAGAAGAGGTCGTCTGTACCGTTCCTCAGACCCCTGCCTCTCTTCGTGGGAATGTAGCCTGCCACCTATCTAGGATTTTCTGGTTTGCTAGATTGTTCAAGCCTCCTTCAGACCCAAATAAAGCCTTGTTTCAGAATCAACTCGGATCAGGAAGGTTCATGTGTTGCTTGGTTTGCACCAGTACAATGGTAATTACCACGAAAACACCAGAAGCCACGCACAGCAGACAAAGGGGCTACTGCAGAGCCTGAGAGCTTGGGCTTCATCCCAGGACTCCATGGTGTAAAGCTGAATCCTTGAAGCTGTCTTCTGACCTACATGCATGGACATAGGGGTGGGACACACACACACACACACACACACACACACACACACACACACACGTTAATAATGTGTGAAGGTAAGCCAGGTGAATGTCTTTGATCCCAGCAGAGGAGGCCAAGGCAGGTGGAGCTCTGAGTCTGAGCTCTTGGTCTACTGGCAAGTTCCAGGTCAGTCAGATCTACAAAGACCCTGTCTCAAACAAAACAAAACAGAAACCCATCAGAGCAAACAAGAAGACGATGCCACCTAGTGTGGTGGCTCAAACTGTCTTCTGACCACTTAGGAGCCCGAGGGAGCAGGAGGAACATTCTGAGTTTGAGGTCCATCTGGGTCACTCAGGGACTTCCAGGCTAACTTGGACTAGGAGAGAGAGATCCTTTAAACCATAAATGATTTAAAAAGTCAAGCATGTTCCCAGTACTGGTGCTGGGAGGCAGCTGAACAGCTTCAAGTTCCACTCTGTTTGATTTTGCCGAGAAACTATTTAGGATGACTGTAAGAGGACAGGCAATTACAGCTGACATCATTCCAGCTGGCTGCATCCAGGTTGAGCTGAATATCCACAGAGCAGCTCAGCCCCTCTCATGCCTCAGGGCCCTCTACTATCTGGGTTCTCTCTCTGTGGGCTGCAGAATACTCTGATAATTTGGTGCCCTGGTTGTAACAGCCTGTGTGTGTGTGTGTGTGTGTGTGTGTGTGTGTGTGTGTGTGTGTGTGTGTGTTTTTGTTTAATTCACTTAGCTGTATTTTATGTGCATTAGTGTGAAGGTGTAAGATCCCCTGGACCTAGAGTTACAGAGAATTGTGAGCTGCCATGTGGATGCTGGGAATTGAACTCAAGTCCCCTGGAAGAGCAGCCAGGGATCTTAACTGCTGAGCCATCTCTTCAGCCCCCACCAGTATATATATTTTGAGTGCCAGTGTTTATCTAGTGACTTGTGGGCAATGAAAGGATTTTGTGTGTTTAAAAAAAATCATTTACGTAGCTTTATTTTATGTGCATTGGTGTGAAGGTGTCAGACCCCCTGGAGCTGAAATTACAGACAGTTATGAGCTGCCATGTGGGTGCTGAGAATTGAACCTGCCTCTTCTGGAAGAGCAGCCAGGGCTCCTAACCACTGAACCATCTCTCCAGCCCCAGTGAAATTATTTTGTACTAATTGCAAGCAGTAAAACCTGTGCTTGAGTATTCTACACAGAAGTGGTAATTTATGTGGTTGATTTCTATTTCATGACACTCATTCATGTGTGTTGGAGGGGGCACACATGCCCCAGCATGCACGTGGGGGGTCAGAGAACTCAGTCACAGATTCTCTCTTATGTGAGTTTCAAAATTCCATCATGCTTGGTGGTAAGCGTGTTTACCATGAACCATTCCAATGCATATACTTTTTAAAAATTTGTTGTTCTCCTCCTCCTCCTGTCTCTGTGTAACAGAACCCACTAAGTAGACCAAGCTGCCCTCAAACTTGGAGTTGCTTCTCTTGTTCCTGCTTCATGAACACATGCCTCCACTGCTCGCTCTCTCTCTCTCTCTCCCTCTCTCTCCCCTTTCAGGTTGGCCTTGAACTGGTCATGTAACTGAAGGATGACCTTGAAACCATGATCCTTCTACCTCCATCTTCCAAAGTCTGAGATTCCCGCTTTCCCTACCACACTTTCAGGGTCTGCAGAAGTCTCCTTCTGTTTCCCTGTCGTTTCCCCCTCTGAATGTGGACACTCACCCCAAGACTTCCAGCCTCACCCCCTGGGGCTGCAATTTTACACGTCATATGGTCCAGAGAACCAAGGAACCAGGGTTCTACAAGTTCAGCCCAAAGTCGTATTGTCATTCTGATGATATGGATTTGAATCATAAGGTCACCACTGTACCGATTACAGGGCAGTGGCAGAGATAGTTTAAGGCAGTCACGTGGCCAATGTTACCCTAATGCTTACTATTTTTCTTTTTTTAAAGATTTTATTATGTTTACAACATTCTGCTTCCATGTATATCTGCACACCAGAAGAGGGCACCGGATCTCATAACGGATGGTTGTGAGCCACCATGTGGTTGCTGGGAATTGAACTCAGGACCTCTGGAAGAGCAGCCAACGCTCTTAACCGCTGAGCCATCTCTCCAGCCCCTGTTGTTTTTTGTTTTTTTTTTTTTTTGAGACAGGATTTCTC